CCCCCCCTTCACAGATAATTTCTCAATAGATGGAAACCCATGCATTGCTTCTGGAGTCCCCAGCCTCATGAATCCAATGACTAAGCCTTCTACCACCACTTCTTTCAATGCTTCTGTGGCTGAGATTCCAAGGAAGCGCAAAGGAAGTGATTCTGATAACCAGTAAGTAAATTGATTCTGTGTGTGTCTCTACATAAATTGGAGACATTAATCTGTTATTTATGCAACATGGTAACTAATCCTCCTTCCTTTATTTATTACCATTATTTATTACAGTTTCTTCCAAATGCATTCTTTAACAGCCCTGAGTTATTAAAAATAGAAAAAAATAATCCTTAAATCTAAGGGATATATGTAGAATTCTGTAATGCCATTTCCGGGCCTGAAGTGTCTGGGTAATATGTCTCTAATGCTGAAATTTCAATCCTAACTTTTTTTTCTTTGCCTGTTAGTAAAGGCAAGTTCTCTTTGCAGCAAATTGTTACTAAGTTGCTTGAAGTCTCACAAGTGTACACTAGTATATCACCTTAAAGTGTGAAACAAGATTACTCGTTAAGTTCTTTGATCTAGAAGTGTGGAATCACAACTGCTTCTTCAGTGACTAGGGCAGCCATTTACTTAAATGTCCAGACAGACCTGTGACCTAAAAATGAGGACTGTCCTACAGTAGTACTCAGTCTTTTTAAGTGGGTCATAATATACTGAGATGATACTGTTGACTGTTTTTGCCTGTTTTATAACTGCCAAATAGATGACAGTTAACAAAATAATCATTTACATGGAAAAATATTTTTAGAAGTGATCTATTCAAACCTATATTAATCAGCCGTAAGTGACACAAGTCAGCCTGTGAATCTAGTGCATTACAAGTATCTCCAAACTAGTATGGAAAATTCACCTTTAAAAAGGGGGAGTAGAAAATATATGTGTATTTGATTATTAAAGCAATTCTCTTCAATCCCTGCTTCTTCCATATATAGTCCCTTGAGCTACAGAATGTAGCCATACTGTGGATGTTGATATAATTGTCAACTTGGAGATTCAAGTGTATCTTGAATCTGAAAACTCCAGAAATACATTAGTTTCTGAAAAAAAAACTCCATTCTTTTTTCAGTAGTTCTTGTTGATTTTTACCTGTTCAGTAGAAGTACTCAATAGTATTTCCTTCTGTCATAAAAAAATTTTGCCTTCAAGTTGAAATACTAATTGAAAAAGTATTGTTTTATAAGAACCAGTAATTAGTTTCTAAAAACTAATGTTCTTGCTGAAAATCAAGTGGGGTTTCCACTAAAATTTTTCTGTGACTTTTTTTCATTGGATATATCAAGTCATCTTTTTGTGCTTCAAACTACATTTTGCTTACTTTATTAACTGTTTCTGCAGGGATACAGTTGAAGTTGATGGTGACCCTCAGAAAAGGTACATTTTATAAATGAATCCATTTCTGTTTTCAGTGCTGTAAACGTGTCGCATTTTCCTGGTTGGCTAGATGAGCCGTGTGGTTTGCCTTAAGGAGTGCTTTATCTAAGGGCAGGTGATTGTACAGCAAAAGGGGATAAACATATAGCTAATTAACAGGATGGATAGATCCAGCCAGCGTTAAGGTTTTCTTATATTTCTTTCTAAGAAGGTACTCTGACTTACTTATTAACTGTACCAGAGTTGTTAGTATTGAAGTTAAGGTAAGCATGGGAGTGAATGAAAAGTAACAGTTAAATAAGATGACTAGGGGGGTGAAGGAAAGGTCTTGTACTCTTCTAGGACTGGTGCATGCAAACATTTTTTGTTTGTTCTAACCTTGTCAAGTGCTTTTTAAAATAGAACTGCCACAACTATGTTAAAATACTGCTATGGCAAGGTGACAAACCAGAGTTAAGATTGGCAGTGCAGCCTAAGTAAACCCTTTGTGTGTGTATGTTATGGGATAGTTATTAATTACATGATTACTTTGTTGTGATTTCTTTTTCTGCACCTGGATACCTTACTTAGAAAATATATTCGTTTATATGTAGCTGTGCAGCATTCTTTTTTATCCTTGTAGTTACTGTTTGGTGCATGGCTTATTGGGTAGTATACAAATCTTTCTTTGGAGATAAATTATTTGTTTCTTTGTGGATTTTTCCATGGCACTTATGAGGGAAAAGTATGAATAAAAATGCTCCTCTTATGTCTTTAAAACCTCTGCTTCCATTTTAGAAGAAATCAGGAAGCATGTTTAATAAATCAATTGAGAAAATAGAAGAAAAGGTGATATTCTTTATTTTTTCCTGAATAATACAGATTCTGTTCTTCTAGTACCAATTAAGTATACCTACATTACAGCCATGAGGTAGAATTTCACCCTATGTTCATGTAGTCAAGGTAGTTTTAATCTAGCTATTTATATCAGTAGCAACACGGCTGTTAGGACAGAGGCTATATAAATCCATTGAAGGCTGTGACTGATTGCTTGAGCAGCAAATTTGTTCTAGTTTCTTCCCCAAGTGGAGCTCCTGAGGAGGTAGGGGAGTTAGTTAATAGGCCACACGCTGCATTGCAGTTGGTCTGGCTCCCCCTTATCTCCTCTCCTCTTGAGGTCAGACAATATAGCTTCTGTTCATAGTATATGCACATTTCTGGTAAAAGTGTCTTTTAAAATGAAAGCAAAATATTAGTTATTGCAAACTTGTCTAAATCTGAAACAGTTTCACTGAAGAAAAGTCCTAGGGTCTTGTGAGCCCAACCTATTCCTGTGTTCAGGTTTATCAGACTGTCTAGAAGATTTCTGGGTTCCAGTGAAATCCCAGGTTGAAGAGCTGGATCTCTGAATTGTGTGTTAATTTGGCTCTGGCTGCTGGATCCTGGCTGGGGTCAGTGGTTAGTCACAGGTGGAAGCAGCTTTTGGGGTCTTTCCTAAAGTTGTAATTAATCTCCAACTGTTCTTCTACTTCCATTTCTTTATAGGAAATAGCTGGTGACTGATTGGCCTGTTTCCTTATAATCCTTCTGGTACAACATATGGTCATAGGTTAGCAGTTCTCTCCTCTGGAATGGAGTTTAGAGTATTGCATGAGATGTTTCCACTGCTGAATGAAAAAAAAGCTGAAGAAGTGCTGTGGGAAGATTAAAAATATTTGTATCAGTTTTTCTTTTAAAGAAAATCATAGCCAGTATTTATATGGGAACTGCCTCACTGCAAGTACCAAATTGCTCATACTAAATTGGCAAGATAACTATTAGGCCGTGTTCTGAAATTCTTAATGCATGGTGGTGAAGAATACAGTGATCTTAGGGAAGAGAAAAAGATCATTGTCCTTGTTTGAAGCATCCTTTATATTTTCTTGCTGCTAAGTAAGAAAATAAGTATTTATCGTGATACAAGCACCTATGATTGTCTTCCATTTACAATTTTATTACACAGACTTTCCAGTCATTGCTGTATGGTATGGGAAAATACTTAATTTTTGCTTTTTCTGACCATGAGTAGTTAAAGTATATTTTAGGCCAAGTCTAGGCTAGCATTACTTTTTTCATCATTTGACAGTAAGATTTTGGAAAGAAAAACATGAATAGATGATGTCTCTTTAAAATTTTAAATTAAAAAAAAAATCAAGCCTGGATTTAAGTTATTTGAATGTTCCATTAATATTGTTTTCTCCAGGATAAAAATAGCCCTGTAATTATGAAACATCCCCATAATATATTCACATAACTGTGAATATTGGAAGTTATGCTTTGGTCTCTTTCTATTATGCATCACTTGCTAGATCATTTTTGGTTTAGGAATTTTTGTGGGTTTGCTTCTGTTAGAGCCATAGCAAATTTGTAGCATTTTCTATATCGTGAATTCATAGGAGGAAAGAAGTGTCTAGTATTAAATATGCAATGTAAAACTCTCTATCTTGTTTTCTCTAGGAGTGAAGATGAAGAACATCTTAAAATAAAAGATTTCAGGTACTAATTTATAATAAAAGTACATTTTGCTAATAAATACTCGGATTCACAATAGTAAAACGTGAGTTTGTGGGTAACATTCATAAAACCATCAAATATTTAACAGTAAATTTTTATTTTTTCCTCTTAAATCTATAGTAATTTTTAGAGCTTCTTTGAGAATTTTATTTTTCTACTAATTTTAATGAAAGTTGTGTTACAGAATATCTCAAATGGTTAGCAAAAACCTGAGGTTAAAATTTTCAAGGTGAGAATTAAATGCAGTACACTCAAGTTGTATATAAAGGGAGGAGTTGATCCTCAGTCTATGAATTTGAAAATTGTTTTTTCTAGATTTGTCTACACTTGGAGGTATTTAAAATTTATCCCACATGAAAATGGATTCAGCTAAAGCACAACGAAGAATTCTTGTTCTGGAACAAGTTTTTGTATAGGGAATTATTCAAGGTTTGCCATTGCACTTTGAATTCACATCTTATCTGAATCCAAATTGAAATTCACATAAAGCACTTGTAAGGTTTGAAATACTGTGTGACTGTATGCAGTCATGATTCATCCAAACAAATATTTTAAACTATAGGCAAGCCACATAGTAAAACTAGAGCTGTTTTATAAAGTTGTTTTAAAAATGTGTCTTTTATTTATCATGTGAGCAGAGATGTCAAAGCAGAAATACACAATCCACTCTGCTGTCAAAAACATTATTTATACAGTGTGCTAACTAATAATTATGAACTCTTCCTGTAATTTAAATAAAATTGAAGAAAGTGTTTCAAAATATATTTACAGGGTTTTTGTTTAACTCCAAAATTTATTTTTCTTTACTGAGTATCCCAGATTGCTATACAAGATTCTGTTTTACTCGTTGCTTTAATAACTTTCATGTTGTATTGTTAATTTTTTCCTTCAGTTTTGGTTCGTTAGTTGGAGGAAAAAAATAATTAGAAGATTTTTTTTTTTTGAAGGTTTGCTGAAACAGTTATTTCTCTCCAGTGTTTCTTTTCTCAAGCTTATTAGGAACTTGCTTTTTTCCCTTCCCCTTTGTAACTGGGGAATATAACAGAAGACTTCTTGAATCATCCAGTCATCACTTGAATTTCTGCATCCACATGTTCGGGTTTCTATAACTACTTATTGACTATTAGAGATTATTCTCATTCCCCAAACGTTTGTATCTGTCTTCCTGAGGCTCACAGTTTGAGAAGCAACACAATATATTACTTGACTGTTCCTACCTGACACAAAGGAAAAGTTGGGTGAACTTGTAGAGCTGAGAATAACTGGTAAAATTAAATTTAAAAAAAGGCTTTAGAGAGAGAAAAGCTAATTGTTTGGATGAATGACCCAGAATTATTTGTATGAAGAAGGGATTTATTTTTGGGTAAAATAATAAAAATAATAGAAGACTAGGTCTTTAAAATTGTACTTTGTTCTTTCTCAACAGGCCAGGTGTAGTTAACTTTATTACCTTTAATACCCTCTGTTACAGTATGCCTAAGAGGAAGAGTTTGGGAGATCAGTTAACCAAAACTTGTCCCTCAGTTTGGTTAACTACCACTGTCTGGTCTCAATCAGAAAGGAAAATAATCTTTGTTTTAATTGAGCACCTAGCTTGTCTTCTGCGTAGGGAGGGAATACAATGCATTAAACTTTTCTTAATCTGCTAGAGGATGTTAGAGGGGAGGAGATCAGCAGGAC